TTAACTTTGTATAGGAATAATGAAACTAAAGTCGCTGGCCTTTGTTACTGACCTACAATAGACACACGTTGTGTGCAGGTATCGGTATGTGTGTCGGATATATGATTCATGGTCGGGATATGTCAGTTCAGTGCTGTAGTTCACGCTCGACCCACTGACCCTTACTAAAGCAGTGATTGAGAAAACATATTTTGATGCAGCTTTACATACCGGAATTGAGAAGATTGTCTAACACTCTCAGAACCATATTATGTCCCCTTTTGCCGAGTGTGACATATAGGCCCTGAAACAAATATACCCAATACAGCCCATGCAAGTCTATAATATTTGGCAAGTCTAGCTGCAGTAGCAGGCAGTGAAAATGAAGGAAGTCTCTGGGCTGCTTTTTATTATTTTTTTATAATTATAATTTAACAACTGTGACTTCATAGACTAGATGTTAGTCTACCCTCCGCTCAGCCCCTACTGTAATGTTACAGCCATAAACGAATCTAGTCCAGATTTTCCGCATGATCAGATCGGGCTAGAATTGTGTTTCAGCATCCCATGCTTGTCGAAAGAGGACCACTATGCATGTAAGAGGCGACTAACGGCATCGGGTGGTCAGGCTCGCTGACTTGGTTGATGCATGTCATCGTATCCCAATTGCATAGATTATGCTCATGATGTCAGTCAGTCACTGGATTGTCTGGTCCAGACTCGATTATTTTCAGAACGCCGTCATACAGCTGGAATATTGCTGAGTGCGACGATAAGCAACACACAAAGAAACAAATTGCGAGGCGACTTAAGGGATCGGGTAGTCCTGCACGGTGACCTGGTTGATTGCATGTCATCGTACCCCGACGGCGAGACGTTGCTCATGATATCAATCACTGGTTTATCTAGCCTGGACTCGGTAATTCACAGGCTGTCGTTATAAGTTTGATTATAGCGGCGTAACGCTACAAAAGGAGGGACTATCTAGGGCATAGACTTGCAATAGTCTCTAAGGCAAAAAAATATTAGTCATAATTTCTAGATTATATAGATAATAATAGCGAGTTACCCCTATTAGAGATTGTCGTCCTTAAAGTCCGCGTATCTAGACTTGCCTAGTATAAGGATAGAATTACTATACACCCGTGGACTTTTCATTCAGTACAGCCTAGGAGCAAGGCTATCTAGGGCAAAACATTTCTACCAGCTCAACATACAAACCTGTTATCGTTACGACGCCATAGCAGTAGGCAAAACGTAAACCTATATTTTTTTTATAATCACATGTTGTAAATATAGTTTTTATTACCCAGACAGGTGTGTACATGTCACGTATTCGTAGCTTGTGTCTGACACTATCACATGACATTCCAGCACACTTGTCCCGTGGCTGCTTCGAGCACAACAATGTGTCGCCATATTCACTATTGACCCACCTCGTTAACGTACCGTTAACTACAGCGTGTGTCATGTTATTGGAGTGTATGCGTGTGTTTCAATAACTGGCACAGTACAGCTGCACACACCGTTATAAGCTAAATGCATGACTGTTCTAAAAAGGAATATATTGACTTGTTGAAAATGGAACAATATTTTCTCTTTAACCAGTGATATCAAGAGACTCAAATTGTAATTTTTCAATGTCTATTACAGTAAACTACGGTTATAACGAACTCAAATGGACCACTAAGTTTAGTTCGTAATAACCGTAGTTCGTTATAAGATGTATACAGCGTATATACAACAAATGGCCGGGACTAAAAATAGGTTCGTTATATCGGTCAGTTCGTTACAAGCGTGTTCGTTATAAACGTAGTTTACTGTTGTTATAAAATAGAAAAGCATACTGTTGAAAACATACAGTGCTTTTGATTTTTTTAAAAATCCGACATTTCATGAAATTCCTCAACCATGAATTCTGTGCAGGGCAGATGTTGCCATATGATAATGTCGGAACAGCCTTTCACTCGAGGATTAACCGTCACGCTGCGTCTGACATTACGGTGTCATAACATTGCGAGTAATACACGGTGATGCTATTCATAGTGGTATAAGCCGATCGCTTCTCTTGCTTAAGCTGTAAGCATTCGCGGCTGGTCATGCGAATCGTTTATTGAATACGTGCACACTGACTGAAGTTTGGCCCGGGGCGAAATGGCTCCGCCAAGTGATGTGTCAGCAAGTTTGTTCAATCGTTAATACGATTATGCAGGCGTCATAAATACCGCGGTATATCGGGGTGATTGAATGAATTGATGAGACGGTAAATGTTTGACATCCTGCAGTATTCAGCGTATTCAACGCGTCAAATATTCCGTTGATATTACTATGTAAGCGCGAATAAAATTAAAATGTAAACGATTGGCTCAAATGAACACGACACAGTTAATCAATTGATTAACGCACGAAGAGTCGACATCGTGTGGCATCGAGGTTATTAAATATTACCTCATAACTATATAGGTTATGTAACGTTATTACACATTGATGTTCAGTGTTGCCATTGCCGGTATAATTCAAGTTGGTTAATGTTGTTCGACAATAGTGTTAATGTTGCGAATAACATAACTGAAATATATATACCATGATGTGTCATCATCAGTGAATATGAAATGTACAAGCATCCAATTAAATACAGATGCTGGAACCAGTTCCGTTGTGACGAACAATGTAATATTTATATGGCTAAACAATTACATCGAGGCAATGTGTTATAACAAACATTATCAAAACGGAAAACAAGCAAATTAAATCCTGTTATTTGCAATGTTTCGGTGCATAACATGGTGATAAGATAATACAATTTGTCCTTTGCAGGAAATTTATCGCTATGGTTGCTCTTAACGTGTGATAGTGTTGGAGGAAACATTATCAAAACGAAAACAATCCGATTGATTGCGATGTTTCTATATACACCATGATAATAAATCCAGAACACTTTGTCGTTAGCAGGTAATTTATCGTTAAGGCAGTGACATATATATATGGCAATATTACCCAACAGCACGCCAAATCTTAGTGATTAATATTTAGCCTTCCGGACTTTGGAGTTTCAGCGTTTTAATGTAGGCTAATTTATTTATCGCCAAGCAAGTTGAATAGTTCGCAATGTACGCTCCAGGCGGAGATTTATGTCTCTGGAATAGATTTCGACATGATGACGACAACAATGCTGTCAAGTCGACTTCCGTGGTCTGTCCGTCATGTTCACTGCGGTCCTTGTAATCGCCGGCCGTGACGTCGTCACCACTGTTCCTGCGGCTCGTGTTGTGAACACACCACGTGGTGTTATGCACATATTTCCTTATATTAAGGGCCCTTGAAGATCCGGGGTAGAATAGGTCTTCAGCAACCCATGCTTGACGTAAGAGGTCACTATGCTTGTCGTAAGAGGTGACTCTGCTTGATGTAAGAGATGACTCTGCTTGTAAAAGGTGACTCTGCTTGACGTAAGAGATGACTCTGCTTGTCGTAAGAGGCGACTATGCTTGTCGTAAGAGGCGACTATGCTTGTCGTAAGAGGTGACTCTGCTTGACGTAAGAGGTGACTCTGCTTGTCGTAAGAGGTGACTGCTTGTCGTAAGAGGCGACTAACTGGATCGGGTGGTCAGGCTCGCTGACTTGGTTGATTATTTACAGACAGCCGTCATATTGCTGGGATATTGCTGAGTGCGGTGTTAAACAACAAACAAACAAACAAACAAACCTTATATATTATAGAAATTGTTGTGAGCATAAACGTATATTGTGAACATTTAGAAGATAATACAACGCGGAATACGTTAAGCACCGGTCCTTTTTTCATATACAGTAAACTACGTTTATAACGAACACGCTTATAACGAACTGACGGTTATTACGAACTATGTCTTTGTCCTGGACATTTGCTTATAACAAACTACGGTTATAACGAATTAAAATTGGTGGTCCTTTGAGTTCGTTATAACCGTAGTTTACTGTATCTCGAACTTTCATATATCGGTTGAAAATAGTTGCCATTTATTTCATTTCGATTGATGTCTAAGATAACTGGGATACCTCCTGACAGTTTGGTACAAGGTCACTGAATGTCTCTCAGATGTGCTGAGTCACGTGAAGCAGAGAAACAGAGGATGCAACGGAAAGAGTAGTCACATAACTGTTGCCATGGTTACAAAACACATTGACAACAGTTACGAAACATGTCATTACATAATCGAATTCTGTTTCTGTATTTTATCATGATTATGTAACTTTGTAAACAAAAACAAATGTCTTTCTTCTGTCATTGCAGGATTCGATTTTAGAACATATATAGTTAGCGGATTTTTAACTGTTTTTAAGGTGTATTATATGTAAAACGTTAAACGATCGCTGTACACGCGCAATAATAATAATGATGATGATAATGATGATAATAATAATGAAAATATGTAAAGTGAAATATAAAGAATTTATTTTGAAGTCCTACGCAAAGAAGGTCGATTTTCAAAAGCACTGTTGCTGCCTGTCAATGCTTCTTTTAAAAAGCTCACGTTCAAAACCGGTTTCGATTTCTCGCCTTCGTAAATGACATGAAGCTCCTTGTTAGTGTTCCGCGTCGTGATGTCGCTAAGACGACGTTAAGCTTAACTCACTAACTATGATGAATCTGGCCGTTGAAGTTTGAAGTTATAAGTAGGATATTTATTTATGTCTGCCCTGACAACAGTTATCTGTAACGGTAAATGTGCTTGTTATCGTTTGATGACTTGAGGAATATAATCACTACAGCAGTTTTTCCGGAGCATGTGACTATACCTTTTTCATCGTTAATAATTTCCCTAATCAATGAAATATTTCACTACAGTGCATTAAAATGCATTATATGCATGGGTAATGGGAGCATGGTAATGTGAGATGGACCTTTTTCTGCACCAAGTTATTAATCTGCATCAGTGATAGCATAACACTAGTATCCACCATGCCCACTAACACCCCACACGAAACATGCTAAGCATCTTCCATTGACACTTATGCGAACCACCTGTTTGTGTTTTCAGAAACCACGGTATAGCGAGGAGGTGTGTGTAGGTACTCGTCACAATCAACTCGAAGATTCCCGTTTGCTTCTGACCTTGGGTAAACATTCCGATCCACAGTCGCCGAAACAAGTCTCGTTCGATGATCGAGATGACGTCGCAACTGATGACGTCATGGACAGATCTGGAATTCTGGGAAATGCCAGCGTCGAAGAAGTGTTAGAGGGACTCCTTTCTTTCGGCAAACGCCCAGTTCGTGAAAAACTTGTATCGGATCCTACAGTTTTCGAAGGAAATGGCCACGCTTTATTTCCAAGGACTGGATCGGAGGCAGGGTATAACTATTATTCCAAGAATGGAGAGAAGGATGTATGTGATTTTTCGATGAAGGATTCCGTGTCAGTGGACTGTGACCATCAAGCATGTGTGAATTCTCTTCCCTTGAGCGAAGCTAAGAAATCATTCAAACTGTGCCCGTTTTGTTATACCTACTACTGCAGCAGACTTTGTAGGAAGCATGATTTCGAGGCTCATAAACAAAAATGTCACCATAGCAACGTAAACAGCGCGTGCAAACACATCATGGTTAAAATTAACAAAGACCCAGATATACAGTATCAATATTCCCGCCTAGCCAGACAAGGTTTTAAGTCACGTGGTCGGGGGTGTTTGGTTCTGTATATCCCGGACCTGTTTAATGCTGAACGATATCTACACGATCCTAACAGTGGCAAATTTTCTCCAGTTTTCGTGCCTCTCAAAGCCCTCACCAGCTCACAGGAGTTCGGTAAAATGTTACCGTATGTGATTGACATGGTTATTCAGTGTAACCCCTCTGTAAAGTACGTGATGCATGTATCGGTGGGGGTGGGGTCTGCCTTAGAACAAATCCCCCCTCCCAGGAGCACTGATCCCTTCATCCAAAAGTGCGCTAAGCTGAGTCTCAGCCCAGCTCACGATCTCACGAAGCTTGGGGATCATAATTTGGATCATAACAATATTATGCTCCTAGCTGCCCCCACAGAACAAGCCAATGACAGACACGATACCAGAGAGGCAAGGGAAGCAAGCTTCATGGACATTCAACGGAAGTTACGTCATATTGGAGTTAGCCTACGTCACGAGTTCCCAGACAGTTATGACAAGTTGATAGACTTCGTTGCAGACGGAAGAATATTTCCACCTCAGATTATCTCCCCTGTTGACTCCAAATCGGGCGAACGATTTACCTGTGTTATTGTACCCGAAACGGAAACGGAAATAGAATGGGTGCAGGCTCAAGAGTTCCCGCCAGATATTGACCTGTCAACGGACGACCGGTGTCCGACTTCACCGACCTCCCCCTAAAATTTTAACCCCGGACAGAGTCTCATTTCCATCCCAAATGTGTGACATGTTGACATATTGTATGGATATATTATAAGGACGTTCATTACGGTGTACAAAGAGCTGTGTGCATCTGATCGACGCTTTTACTGCGAAGCATTATACACTGTGGCTTATATTTTGGTCCCTGCATTCATTCAGTTGGTTGTGTTGGTGCTAATAGAGCAAAATAACTGTAAATATTGTTGTGAAAGGTGTTTTAGTAGCATTTATTATTATTAACTAAGCACATCATTCATCGATCCATTCGATTTATTTTTTGTAGGACGACATTATCAATGTCACACAAAACTGAATCTTGGGATAGCCGTGGTTAAAGCGTTCGCTCGTCATGCCAAACACCCTGGTTCAGTGGGTACAATGAGTGAAGCGTGTCTCTGGTGCTCCCCGCCGTGGTATTGCTTGAATATTGTTAAAAGCGGCGTAAAACCATACTCACTCACTGATGAATTTGAGATTGGTCATTCATAGCAATAAGGCTTGTAGGGGATAGTCTAATGTATCGCCAGTAATGTTTGATGATACTATTTAATAAGTATCTAATGAAAAATTATTATTTTCCACTCCAGCATGGAAGAAGAGATCAGAAGAAATTGTTCTCATACTCATTTTACGTCACGTATTCAAATCAGACTTGCAGCCATTTCAACATTCACATTCGGGACTGGCGTTCACCCAATTTCAAACTTGTCATGAAAATCTGTCGCTTTGAATCTGCTAGAATGTTGTGTTTCATATTAGGTCGAGGCAGCACCGTAGAATAAAATATGTATTTCCTTCAATGGAAATTCGTATGGATATGATGGCTACTACTATTTAGAAGACATCCGCAGACATGTGCGTCCTCTGTGATCATGTTATTATTAACGTTAAAAGTTCAAAACAAATCACCTCCCAGAACTATTCCAGGAATCAATGTTTTTTGTGTTAAATCTTTTAAACACAGGGGAAAACTGAAAGAAACCCTTTTGTAAGCTGCAGATGTGTCCATCTGAATTATACCTCCCCTCACGTCCTTTTGAAAGTTTTTATCACATGAGTCTTTCAGCAACACGGCTCAACTGCCCAGATCGATATCTGTCTGTGGCTCTGTTAGCGGTACATGCTTGCTGTACTTGCAGCAAGCATGTACCACCAACTGGTTAATTGTTGCTGTAGCTGTTGCTGTGTTGGTTGCTGAGTGCGTGTCTGTATTTATACCGCTTTGCCTGCCGTTTGAAGAAATTTAAGAATGAATGTCAGTGTTGATTTAATGATAAAATCGTGTTTTTTTATATTCAGTGTTTTATGGCGGACGACTGTATTGCCTGATATATGTATTTTATTAAAGAGATTGGTTATCAGTAAAAAAGTTTCGTCCTATAGATCCTGTCGAAACTAGGTATGTATTGTTGGTTAGCGGGCTAAATTATTAAAAATAGATCATGGTGGGTTCATTGGTGCTAGGAGAAATAGCGAGGACGTGGCTGTTTACAAAACATGTATACTGACGGATAAGAAATAAGGGAACAGTTGTTCCTGACTGTGCTTGACATGCAATACCTGGGTAACCGACTGGTACCCCTAAATTGTTTGGTGATGACGTCAGCACATTCGGTTTTGTTGATATAAGCATTTATTGAACACATTTACTCTCGTTGTGATGATATACAAGGCGTTCCGGTACTTGTTGTCGTCAGTATATTTGAATGGATTTTTTTAAACAAAGCTATTTGGCGAAGGCGTTTGTTCTTTTACTGTTATGGGAAAGTTTTATGACGTTCTCATTGGTACATTTTATACCTTCAAAATAGGGATTGTCAGAATAAGTTGAATGAAGTAGCGAAATATGCATTTACCAAGTAAATACCACCAGTTGCTGTGATACACTAATCAGTAAGACAGAGTACACGTCACCCGCGGTATAGGCCTTCAACAATACGTATTGTTATACGATCTTTATTAGTTGGTATTTTGAGAAAATACGTAATTACGTGCACTTATGTGGTTTTAATCCATGATTAAGTCAATTAAAACCGTTATGGCACAGCTATCTTAGACGAATAATATTTTTTTGGACTCACTGCTATTTGTCACTGGATTAACTCCCTTTGTTAAGCGTTACTGTTGTCACAAATGGCGGATCGTTCCTAACAAAATTGGGAAAGCCAACGTTTGACGCTTTTGCTATTGTAGGGCAGTCAGAAAGTGGACGAAAACACAACAGTATGTTAATGGTAATATATTGAATACGTCCCACAATACAGACCAAGGTATCGCAACATATTGCAATACAAAATTCCAGGCAATAGGGGGCGGTCGGGTAGCCTAGTGGTTAAAGCGTTCGCTCGTCACGTTGAAGACCCGGGTTCGATTCCCGACATGGGTACAATGCGTGAAGCTCATTTCTGGTGTCCACGTCGTGATATTGCTGGAATATTGCTAAACGCGGCGTTAAACCATACTCACTCACTCACTCCGGGCAATAGGCAACCCTACTGATCGGCTGAAGCTCTGGGCGTGCAAGAAAATGTTTCTCATCAGAAGGTTATTTTCAAATTGACCAGATCATCTTGTTTATTTCCCAGTAGGCCAAAAAAAACTTAATTCAAACTCGTCAGCAACCTGAACGACATGGGGGAGGGGGGTCTCTCCCGTGAAAATCCCGACATTCTTGGCATTCGCAATATTCACGGACAGAACCAAACATTAATGACCTCCCTTATAAACAATGGCATACACGGCTTCTGTTCTATGATGCGCAAGATGATGAGAAACCTATTTCGTGCCACGGCCAATGCGCTGGGAGTGCTAATTCGACACCAGTTCATGATTAACAGTTGCCTGTCAGATTTCGAAATGATGATAAATTTAGTGTATAAGACTTCGGTTTTTGTATATTGATCGGTTATGTTTACCCGATGTACATTTGCAGATTTCCATTAACGTTTTATGTTTCATGTATCGAATGATACAAACGTATACTAGCGAATAAGGTGACGTATGTTCAAACAGTTTTATAGCGTGTATAATGCTGAGATGTAACCGTATTCATAATCCGATCCCATCTAAAATGGCAATAGATTTTATTTCACACCCGAGGCTTTGATGGTGTTAATAATGTTTTAGCCCTGCTGTCCTTGACCTTCATATGCTGAACTTTGACCCGAAATGCCAATAATTTATTGTGCCTTAATGGTAGTTTTAGAAACCATGTTTTTAGCATAACAATTTACAACTTTAGAAGCAAGTAGAAGAGATGTATTTACATAGTATGCCAACATTCACTGTATATATGTGATAAATGGATAAAAAGTATATTCCGTTAATCCTCGGCTATATTTTATACAATGTTTCAGAAAATATTCTGATTCGTTGTTTTAATGCAAATAATCTATTGTTTTGTACATTTCTTATGAAAACTACACAGTGCAATACATGTACAGATCAATTGGGGATGCAGTAGGATCAACAAGCAGATTATTTAGCTAACACGAAATTTGTAAAGGGGTTAAAATGATTTAGTCCATACCCGATCATTTGCTTTTGTAGGATTTGAATAGTTAAAGAGCTATGTTATAATTAAGGATTAACCCTTCATATGCTGAGCGATGTAAAAACGTAGGGAGTGATTGATAGTTTTTGGAAAAAATATACGTACGTTTTAGAAATGAATATGTCTTGTCCGGTATTATATCCTTTAGGAATATCTGACAAAAAATGAATGTGGATTTGTATTGGATTACTAAACCGATGATTCTGCTATTGTAAAGTTATAATGTAGACTGATTTGTGATATGTTTATGTTGACTTATAAGCAAAGTACCACATGAAGGGTTAATCCACGATTATGACGCGTGCCTGTGAAATATTTTACAATTGATGCCTGACGCATGTTGTAATTTATTTGGAGTAATGCTATAATTATTGATAATTAATTAAAGAGATTATTGTTTCTTGTCTTTATATTGTTGCAAATTTATTCAGCACAATGCGTTGGTACCCGTGAAGATCCATGTTAGAATTAGTCTCCAGCAACCCAGTCGTCAGAGGCGACTAACGGGATCGGGTGGTCAGACACGCTGACATGGTCTTTGAATGACATCAATCCTTGGCCGGTCTGTTCAAGATTCGAATATTTACACACGACCGCCATGTAGCTGAAATATTGCTGAGTACGACGTTAAACAACAAACAAACTTGGCGTCTCGGATACACATGACGTTGGCGTATCACAGATACAGAACCGGATCAGTTGGTCATGCATCTTCATCCTTGACCTCTTTCTTGATTAATATGCATGAAGCGGTAGGGGGCAGGTTATTCACACACGCACGCACACACTTTATAGTGAGTGAGTTTGGTTTAACGCCGCTTTTAACAGTATTCCAGTTATATCACGGCGTGTCAGCTTAATGTGGGAGGAAAGCCTGAAGTGATGCAGACGTTTACCACTTCGGTGAAACCCACGAGCACGGGTATGGTGCTGACAAACCTAGAAACAAAAACGGGGCGAACCGGGATTCGAACCCACAACATAGGTTTCCGGCGTACCCAAGGGACGCAACTCTGCATAGCGAATCGCGGCGCCTTAGACGACTGGGCCACCCGTGCCCCCCTCATTTTGACGGACCTGCATCGTCGGCTGCGACGTCAGTGGTGTCAGCGTCCTAGAGTATGACCACAACTGCGATGGAGACAAGTTTGATTAACTGACGAGTCACGTTTTAAGTTTTGCCGTGCGAATGGGAGACGTCGTGTTTACAGGCATCGCGGGGAACGTTATGCACGGAACTGCATACAGGAAGTGGACAGATTTGGTGGTGGTAGTGTGATGATGTGGTCAGCCATCTCCTACACTCGTCTGGTACAACAAACGTGGTGCAAGTTCTGGGGAATTTAACGATTTACCGGCACAACGTTTCACGAGTGATATTCTCCGGCTACACGCCCTTCCCATTATGCAACAAGCAAACGTCACGTTTCAACCAGGCAACGCCCGACCTCACACGACAAGACTGACGACAGCCTGTTTCGGAAATCACAAATACCAGTTCCTGGCATGGCCCTTCTGGTCTCCAGATTTAAACCAAATCGAGCATTTATCGGATGCACTAGCTCAACGTCAGCAACAACCACAGAACCCCCGACAGTTGGCACAAGCACTGCAGGCAGAAGGGTGAACATTCCTAAGACCACAATTCGGGATCTGTTGTTTCCGTTGGACGACTATTCCACCGTCAGTTTTCGACTCTTGTCGGCCATACAAGATTTTGAGAACAGATGACCTTGACCTTAAAAAATCTAGTTTCATATGAGCCATATGGAACTAGGTCAATGACAATGTGTGCCAATTTGGAACAATCAATTACCATGTGTTGATATTTATATGATATATGAAATATACATCAAAAATCACTTTTGCGTTTCTTTATTTGCAGAGTATATTTCGAGTCTTGGCCAGACAGATCCGAAGTTGAACGTTTGGCCAATAGTGTACGCCTTTGCGACTCGAAGTCGGTGACCAATGTAATGTAACAACTTGAATACTGCTAAAATCAGCGTCAAACCTCACTCACTCACTCACTCACTCGCTCGCTCACTCGTGTTGTTTCAGGGCAGCCCAGAACAACGACACAATCGTTCCCACGACCATTACTCATTTGCTGATAACAATATTCTTACTGTTGACTCTGGAATGGTGAATTGGGTTTAATACAGCTTTGGACAGAAATTCATATCAGGGCCCGTCCATTCAATGTGAGAGGAAAGCCCGAAGTGATGCAGGTCTCAGACGATTAAACCGTCTCCATGGTCTGGTGATAGAGCGTCCGCCCGGGGAGCGGAAGGTCCCGGGTTCGATCCCCGGCCGCGTCACACCAAAAGACGCTAAATGATGGCACTTCTTGTTACCCTGCCTGGCGCTCGGCATCAAGGGATAAAACAAGGACATGTCGATTCGGAGTCAGAACACTGTGTCTGAGTAGGGTATTTATATTAAACTGCGGCATGGTATCTCAGTGGGCTAGCACAATAAAACCAGCTTAAGTCACACATACACACAAGCATTACTCCGATCTAAGCGGCGTTGGGGAACAAACAAAACTCCGAGCTGGTTCGAGCCCCGCGCGCACGCATGCACCGACATACACACGCATCCCACCAAGTACGCTATCTTCCACACGTACAGATTTATTATCACTGCACCGACATAGTTGTGTTGTATTGTCATGAATAAAAAACACTGCATGTCCTTGGACTGTTCGCTGCTATGAATATTGATTGTTGGAAGATATCAACATGGCGTGGTGTCGGGCGGGCGTTGTGATGATCGCTATAACGCGGTGAGGACTCACGCCTTGAGTTCACACCTCGAGGTCACATCTTGTCGGTCACATGGTGTGTATTGAGCAGTCAGAACAGCTGGACTCTGTTCAATTCCGGGTTCGAGTCCCGGTGGACACAGTTGGTAATATTAGACACTGATATCAAAACTGTAAATATTTCTGCACTGTAAATGATTTGAATAATTGAACTAAATATGTAGGTTAAGTTTTTTCAGACAAACACCTTAATTTCCGTTTAATAATGTAAATTGAATGCAAGTGAAACTGCATTTGCCAGTTATAATCATTTATAATGCAACGTATTATTTAGGAAAAATATTTGTTGAGGAGAAATTATTTTTAATTTTAATTTCTCTTTCTCATTTCTGTTTTATTACAACGACCTTAATAACATTTGTGTTTTCAAGCTTCTTTCCTTTGTTTGTTTATTGTTTAACGCCGTACTCAGCAATATTCCAGCTATATGACGGCGGTCTGTAAATAATCGAGTCTGGACCAGACAATCCAGTGATTGACACAACCCCAATACACTGAACGAACTCCTGTAGGTTTATTTCATGTTTATTTCAACACCAAAGAAATTAGGCGATGTATGTTTCAATAAACAGTCGGTCGGATCGCTCTTGCTGCATAACCCAGTCATGTCGATATCTCGTGTGATGAAATTGAAGCCTGTGGTTTGCAGTCGCCCCGACCAGCTGTGCAACACGTGGAATACTGTGTCTGTGACTCATTGTCAGTGCGTTGCTAGATTCATATATACATGACAGTCGACTCCGTGTTGCTTGTATAATTAGGGGGTCGCCATATGTTACTAGCCATGAGATAAGGGATCTCATGGGTGAAAATTCACATTTTGACTTTTCATTATGTTTTAAAACTTCAGCATCTCCAGAACACAAAAATACAATTCACAAACTTTAATTCATATTTATTACAGAGATACATGACATCACACATGGCGATCTTCACTGAAGTACCTTGACGTCAAACGTCTTTATGACGTCAAAGCACAAGTGTATCCTAGCACCATGAGGTCCCTTTTCTCTTGGTGGGTCACATTTGTTATTCTGTGGCTGAGTGGGTGAGTGAGTTAGTTGGGTTTAACGCCGCTTTTAACAGTATTCCAGGTATAATACGACGTGTCAGCTTAATGTGTGAGGAAAGCCCAAAGTGATGCAGGTCTCAGACGTTTACCACTTCAGTGACCCAAGACCCAAGAGCACGTGTATGGTGCTGACAAACCAAGAAACATAACCGGGGCGAACCGGGATTCGAACCCACAATCATGCTTCTGTGGCTGAAGAGGAGGGCCTGGGACAATTTGTTTCAGAAACAAGTCGTGTGGAACCTTCATAAATTGTTTGCTTGTACACAACGTCAACATTAATTTTATGAATTGAAGCTGATCTCAACCCGAAATTGAAAGGGAAAGGGTTAGATGCAACTCCTAAATAAGTTGGCGATCCGTTTTGTCGTCCGAATTTGATTTGTTTGTTTGTTTGTTTAACGCCGCTCTCACAATATTCCAGCTATATGACGGCGGTCTGCAAATAATCAAGTCTGGACCAGACAATTCAGTGATTGATATCATGAGCATCGTTCAAGGCAATTGGGATACGATGACATACATCAACCAAGTCAGCGAACCTGACCACCTGATCCCGTTAATCGCCTCTTACAACAAGCAAAGTCGCTTTTACGGCAAGCATGGGTTGCTGTAGGACTTATGCTACCCCGGATCTTCACGGGTGCCGAATTCGAGAATACTGCCTCAAAAACAGAATTCTCTTCCGGGGATCACGGATACGGACCACCCAATCCACGACAAACATGATGTAATGGGGCTCCCTGCTACTCCGGACCGCCTCCGTGGTCAAGTGGTAGAGCGTCCGCCCGGAGGGCGGAAGGTCCAGGGTTCGATCCCGGGCCGCGTCATACAACAAGACGTTAAAAGATTGTACTTGTTGTTACCCTGTCTGGCGCTCAGCATTAAGGGGCTAAAACAAGGACTGGTCGGCTCGGAGTCAGTATACTGTGTCTGAGTGGGGTATTCATGTTAAACTGCGGCATGGTATCTCAGTGAGCTAGCACTATAAATCGGCATCAGTCCGGACTAGTAAAAGCAGCCACACACACACATACACGTCGCTATATAAGTGCAATAATCTTGGACGCGACGTTTAACCCAATTTCACCTCACCTCACCTCACCCTGCTACTCCGCGCAGTGTTATAAGTTTCTCTGTTTCTTGTTTAACGCCGCAATATTCCAGCTATATGACGGTGGTCTGTAAATAATCGAGTGTGGACCAGACAATCCAGTGATTGATATCATGAGCATCGTTCCACGCAATTTGGATACGATGGTATGCATCAACCAAGTCAGCGAGCCTGACCACCCGATCCCGTTAGTAGCCTGTTGCTGAAGACCAATTCTTATCCATGCCAGCTGCAGGTTCGGAGGATCGTGAAAACAGTAATGCGTCATCATCATTGGATAAACCATTATTGATCATGTACCTGTTTATGTTGTAAAGTGAAATCCTAAACATTTAAAATAAATTCCGATCTCAAACCAACCTCCCCACCCGTCCACCACAAGTACAAATCTTG